GACTCTTTTTGAATAGCTATAGTTTTTACTAATCACTATGGTTTAACAAAAAACTTGGTTCGAGCAACTAATCAGTGTCAGCGAGATTTGTGGGCGATAGCCTGTAGCGATTTTATGGTGACCAAGCTTAGTGACTGTTTGCAAATTTATGAGGGTTTTACGAGTTCTCTGAGCATTCATCTGCTTATTCGTAGTTTGTAGCCTATTCGTTTGTCTCAGTGATCAGAAGAATCTACCCTTTTTATCACGTTATCCTTTAACTTTAGGGTTAACGTCGTGCGGCGAAAACTACCTTAATGCGTAGCCAATACGCATTGATGATCATCAGAAAAGGGAATGCTATACTATAATTTGTGCGTCAAGTTATTGTCAGCTTTTGATAGTTGAAACTCACAGAACCTGAATTTAACAAGGCATGCCTAGGAATTGTCTTTCACTCAAATAATTACGAGCTGAAAATTATAACCAGTTTCAAATAATACGACCCCCTGAACGCAAACCGTGGGATGTTGATGCTTAAAATTTATTCGCGCACCTAGGAAATGACAAGTAGGCCTATACATTCAGGAATTCAAAGAAGACACTCTACTCCCTACCATTTGGTATATATATTTGATATAAATATATATACATATATATACATATACATATATATATATATAGTATATATATATATATATATATATATATATATATATATATATACATATATAATTTAACTGTATAAAAGTTTGTATTATTGTTAAATGAAAATCCATATAAATATTTAATCAACACGAAAATTTATATACTCCTGTAATTTTTAATAACTATTATATCATTTTGAATAGGACTAACGTTCTGGTTAACAAATGATTCCGTTTTCCTATTTAACTCATTACCACGCCAATAGACTAAATTAATTATTGCAAAATATAACCAGCTTTGCCAGTTTTTCGTTATGTTTACTTTGTGTCCGTTTTTTTTTCTATTTTAATAATGTAGACCGAAAGCTGAACAATTAGGCTTGATTTGGCTTAACGATATGAAATTAGGAGCCCTAACTATGGATGAAGTGTGCGTGTTGTATCACCATTAAACATGTGTTAATTGCCAATCGTGTTGCTGTAAAACCTTGAGTAAAGCTTGAAGCTTGCATCTGCAACACGCACTTTTGAAACGTGATTCGAATAACACAAATAATTTAATATGCAGCATGCGTTATGATAAATTTGTTCCTGCAAAGTGATGATATAATTATAGTAATGTTAATTTATATTATTTTTATTATCATCATTATTATTTTTTATTATTGTTATTATTATGATTATGTTATATAATTATTACTATTATTAAACATTTTTATATTATAAAATTAATAGCCTATTACTGATAATATTTAAAATTATTGTAAAAATATTAATAGTAATGATAGTAATAGTATGATAATAATAATAATTATTATAGTGATAATAATACTAATGAAAATAATAATTATTATTATTGTTATTATTTAAAATAATAATTGATAAATAGCCTATTACTGATAATATTTAAAATTATTGTGAAAATATTAATAGTAATGATAGTAATAGTATAATAATATTAATGATAATAATAATACTGATAGTGATAATAATACTAATGAAAATAATAATTATTATTGTTGTTGTTATTGAAAATAATAATTGATGGTAATAATAATAATAGTAATGATAGTAATAGTATAATAATATTAATGATAATAATAGTAATAATAATGATAGTGATAATAATACTAATGAAAATAATTAGGATCCATTGATTGAAGAAATCATTCAATTGTTTATACTTAATATTGAATTTGAAGTAACTTTCTTCGGGTTCTAATTAACCTTGATTTACGAAAGTCATTTTCAATTACAATTCAATTTAATAGCGGTGCACGATATCTTTGCGGTGACGAAAAAATAAGGAATTTTTTTTGCACACGGACCTAAAAAAAATCAAGACAAGCGTCTTAATTGAAAAATAATTAGACTGTGGAGGATAGGCAAATAACAATGGGAGTTGCAGTGATGACGTCACGATTGACTTTAATAATTATTATTGTTATTGTTAAAAATAATAATTGATAATAATAATAGTAATAACAATTATCATAGTAATAATAATAATAATAATTAGGCCTATAATTTTAATTATAAAGGAGAAATTTGATTAGTACTTTTCATTATCGTTTAAAGTGCTATCAAAACCCTTTATTATAATCAATGGAGTAGCACATGAGGGTAACCTTACGCAGCCCAGGGATATTGCCTCCATATTTTGTATCTGGAACATGGATGGGCCTCAAATCAGCGGTGCGGTCCACTTAAGGATCAAAAGGTGTAAAAATACACCATACGCCCCTTAAAAACTAAAAAAAAATTAAAGCTTTATAAATGCCGTCACAATGGTATACGCAGCCCCATGCCCCATAAAAGAAAGGCTCGAAAAACAGACATTCGGCCCTTTGATTACGCCATTGATTACGATGGCGTAATGATGGTGGTGGTGATGATGATGATGATGATGATGATGATGAGACGGTGATTTTGATAGTAACGATGACAGATGGTAGTGATGGTCAGGGCTGTACTGATACTCATACACATGTCCAGTAACATAAACGATGCAGAGCTGTGGCCAGAGAGCACACACGTTTCGTGGTACTGGGGTAGGCATACTTTAAAAAAAAGCGCCATGCGGATATTTTTTAACGATTTAAAGATGATGAAATCTGGCATTGCCTTGTATTGGTGACCCAGATATTGATGTTGTTGGTGATGCTGATACTGATGATGATGTTGATACTGATACTGATACTGATACTGATGATGATGATGATGATGATGATGATACTGATGATGATATGTTAATGAAGATTACGGAGTCAATATCTGCGTCGGGAAGGCAGTGGTGTGAGCATGGGCGCAGGTCATGTGGGACAGGGGAGACATATTATTAAGGGGGTCGGTACTCCCCACTTCATAGGTCAAAAAGATGACTGAAAATTATTGAAATGAGCCAGATTGTATTAAGGAAAGAGCGTTCTGCAGCAGTTTTATGCCGTTAAATTAAAATCATAATTTACACCTGCAGGCATGATTTTACTATATAAGATTGTCATTTTCGGTCATCTAAAGCTACTAGGCCTATCTCTTCAAATATTCATGACTGGCACTCCCCCTTTCAAAACAGATCTGCGTCCTTGGGAGTAAAGAGTGGGAGAGGAGTGTAAACAATTGCTCCTATAGAGCGTCGGGGAGCCGGCCCCCTGTCGGGGACCTCGAACCCCCGTCGGGCAAATCCTGGCACCATCCCTGCTTACTTCAGATGCATGATGAAAGGTCATTTCGGAATAATTTGTTATAAAAACTGCACTGAGTCATTAAGTATTATGCAGTCTAATCAAAGTAACGAAGTTGTATTAACGAATGATCCGCCGCAACACAGATCATTCGTAACCTTAGAATGTGATCCGCTGCAAGCGATTACGCTGAATGTATAGAACTACTTTGACATCTACATAAACTACTTTAAAGCGGCTCACTAAGGACTTATTGTTGTTTTGTTGGTTATCTCTATAATTTATAATCAAATAACATATAATTATAAAGTCCCAGCGTAATTAAAAATAAAAACCACTCCGCCCTGTGATTGGCTGCCTTATAGCTCGTAACCTTATTTAAATATGTACGCGTTCTCTACCAATTATATTAAATGAGTGTAGGGTATGTCGTAAGAGAGCCACTTTAATTCCACTAGGCCTATAATAATTTTAGCATAAAACACGTCGATGAATTTTTAAAGGTGAATGAATGGCCTTCATTAAACATTACTAACACATTTATCTTACCAGATTTAGTGATTGAAATAGAAAAATATAGAGAAAACAGCTTTTAGCTTATAATTTGTTTTCTCATTGTTAGTGAAATTGTATATATGTCGGGCTAAATAATGTCAGAATGGATGTAATGAATCATCCTTGGTGAATTTATCATACAATGATACACTTCTCAGGTTTTGCCACTGACTCTCATGAGTAAAAATGCGACAAATTACTTTTTAGTTTCGACAAAAAATCAATTCGCTCTTAAAACCCTTACGTCTAATATTTAGGCCTAATACCCATGGGGTAAACAACATTTTGTTGAGAAGG